AAATGTTTACGCGGTCGACTAGACCGTGATTAAACGGGAGGAAGTTGTATTTCCATGAGAGACACTTCGACGCCCGTCACTTTTCGAGATTACGGTAAAGATCAAGGTAGTCGTTTTAATTTCTGGATTCTCCTGATTTCTAAACGCAGTCGTCTGAAAAAAGCACACATAGTTCGCCTTCTCCGTCTTATATGTATACTCGATCGAAGTCGAGACAGAGTGAATGGGTTCTCCGGATGCTTTGATCTTACGAAACGTCGCGTCGCATCGCATCGCTCTGGATCCACTGAATTACACGGATTAGCGCGCGCACGAACACGTACAACTGTACCTGCATCCTTTCTCGACGATTCAATTCTACACGCGAAACAATTTTAATCTCCGATGATGGGTTATGGGAGCATCACGATGCGGAAAACGTAGTCCCATGTTAACAGTAATACGCGCGATACGACGAAACATTGTTTCATGTTGCGTTCCGATTCAAACGTGTACAGAAATAAAGCTGCATTGAAAAGGAAATATGGATTAGTGCGCATATTGTTTTAAACGAATCATCCTTTCCAAGAGAGAGGCGTGCGGCGGAACACGCGCACTGAATTCATTCCTCTATGCTTTTTTATGTACACAAGCGAACGACTCTTCTACGTTCGAGACGCGAGCGAAACGGCCATTTTTCACTGATATATAAATGCAGGTTATTAATACGTTCGTATTACGAGGCTCGCGGAGAAGGTAATTAGCCGGCGGTTCATCAGTCACTCCGACGCAGAGCCGGTATAGTATATTCTCGACGCATCTTTGCTGTTTCAGAGACAGGAAAAAAACGTAGCGATCCTCTTGGAGCGCAACAACGACCTACAGGATACCAGACACATTAGAGGACTAATGAAACGTCGGATCGTACAAGAGGACCGCTTGAGAATACCTTCGAGGGCTGATTAGGTTGCAATGAGGAACAAATACCGGTAAAAGAATTCTCGTATCTATCAGGTTCGAAAAAGTATCCATTCTTTTGTTTAACACTTCTTGGCATTGTATCTTCCTCGGCAGACAAAGTTACTGTGAAATCGTCGTACATTGGACGATTCAAATCGAAATTGAAACCAAATGGAAACGAGAGAAATTTCATTCTTTGTAGATCAACATTCGAACGCAACAGCTATTTCGAGAGATCGATTGTTACCTGAGAAGCGGCAATGATAATTTTAACAGTTTAACATGTTCCTCTAGCATATACTTACAGATATATACGTTGAAATTCTGATCGCTAACCATACCTCGTAGAATCGTTGTCAGATTTTTGTTAAACGAGTTTTGCGTGATGTCGTCCCTTGGAAGGATCTCTTAAGCCAGCCTATAAACCGACTGCATTAATGGATAGCAAGAAAGAAATTTTAGTGGACCGAAAAACTACTAGACATTACCTATCACTATTGCAGGATATGAAAGAGTGTGACACTGTATATCATTTCCGTGTTATCGAACGAAGGCAGTTGAGAGTTGAAGTTGTTGCGTGATTGTGTTATTCATCTTGTTATCATTCCGAGTTTTCCTGTCGTGTCGTTATCATCAAATCATGTTTGTATCGTTGTATTTAAAAGCGTTGTGTATTATTAAACTATATTCATACCAAAACTCAATAACATCTCTCTTCATTAAATCCCATTTTCCATCTCGACCATAACACACTCGAACACGTAACACGTAAATATGTACTCGTTCCTACAGTCTGCATTCGAACATCGAATTCCTCTTTGTTTCGTTCTATTCGACTGAAATCTCGTTCGAGAGGATACGTGTGTGATCGGTTTGGCAACCCGTAATCTGTAATCGGAAACAAAATCATCGAGAAAGAATTAGTGATTCCAATCGAGTCTGCTCGTTTTGGAAAGAAAAGTCGATGAGCTTAGTACTCGGCATAGAGGCTGTGCGGGTGTGGAAAGGTGAGGTTTCACCTTTAGCGTTGTGGGGGTGGTTTCTCGGTGATAAAGTGCAAGGAGAATCGCGCACGGGGTCACCCCGACGGTATTCCTATTGGCAGCCCGGTTTCAAGCTACGATCGTGATTGGTCGAAGGTCGTGGGTCGGCTCACCTACCCCCTATCCAACGTGACCTCCCACGCGAACTCGCGAGATAACTACCACCCTTCCACCTTTTCCGGTTCCAGCGCACCGCGCCGCGCCGCTCCGCGCCGTTTGTCGTTTCTCCTTTCGCTCCTTCTTCCTTTGCCACGTTCCTTTCAAATATATCCTGATTTGTCGAATCCGCTGCCAACTCGTTCGCTTCTCGCATCAACATCCCCCGTTCTGCAAAATCGCTGAAAAATTCGATTCGTTCAATTTTCTTGGCTAAAGCATAAACGAAAGAATAAAAGGAAAAGAGCTTTTCCTGTGCGCGTATAGTAAACGCATATAAATATATTATTATATAGGATATATTTCCCACGAATACGAAGTGAACCCAGACAAGATATAAAATGAAGATTCGAGTATTTAACATTTGGTACAGAGTTAATCTTTACGAGTAGCTTCGATCTACTTGTCGTCCACGCTTTGGCTACGAGATACTTACCATTTGCCGTTGTTATTCGGGAAAGTGTTATCCGTACGGTTATAACGTAATTACTCTAACACAATTACACGCACCTCCCTACGACCTGCTTCTTGTCTGGAGAAAATGGATTACCGTGCCAACTGATTCCATTAACGCTATTTCGATATATGTACCTACAAGTACATAGATACAGATATGTACGTCGATCGAACCGATCGTTAGTAACTGAGTAAATGATAGATAAAATTCTGTTCAAACTTACACCTCACCGGCTAAAGATAAGGGTTGTCAGGTGACTGGTGACCGCAACACCGCAACGTAAAAACGAGAAGACGTTCCACGTCACGGAAGTGACATCCGTTCACCCTGACCGTCTTTTCGTTTCCTTCCGCTTTTGAAGCACAGGTATATTTCCGTGAAACGCCACGGTCTCGTGTTCTATCGTGCAAGAAAACCGCAAAGTGAAAGCGTATCTATGAATCTGCGGTCTACAGAATTACATATACCAAGAAGACTCCAACAGTAACATACATGAACAAGGTCCGTCGTGTATCGCGTTACCATTTTTACCATCGACTGCCAAAGCCGCTGCTGTCGCAACGATTTTTCTTGGATGTCGAGCAATCCAACTCCCTTTTCGATACACCAGTAATAACTAAAAATACGTCTGTAGTTAGCTGGAGTCAGGTATACGTACAGTACCTATTTACTGTTGCGCACACGAATACGTACCTATACATATGTATATGTATATATCAGGGGCACCTAAAGCTTTCTTTGTGAGTGCGCGGGCGCGTGTCCATCCCGTCGTCATTCACGACAGCGTCAATCTGAACACGTCAACGACGATTCTCTCGAGGGAAACGCACCGATGTCGGTTATGTTTGCTCCAAAGACCAAACCGAATATACCGAAATCTTCCAGTCGGCCGAACCGAATTCGCCCCAGCGCTCGCCTCGTCCGACCGAATTTCTGTTTACATTCCCGCTGCCACTCTAATTAATTATCCACCATCCCCGATAACGTACAACGTTCGCTTGCTCGCTCGTTCGTCGCCCGCTTTTCATCCCTGCCGCTACGCGCTATTCCGTTCCCATTGTCAGCTCCGCCTTCTCCTTCGCTTTCTTCTCTCATTGTCGGAAAATTGAAGAAACGAGACGCGTTTGCTTCATTGATCAGCCATCTATCCCCAAATCTGTGAATCGACAGTCTTATTTACACTTCCGATGTATACATCCGCTACATTTACACCCCTACGCTATCGTATCATGCGAATAAGTACCGCTAAGCACTGCCATGTATCGTTTTTTACTTCCCTGAAATGCATACGGTCGTTGGTAAGCAAAAATATTTCAATCGCTTTTTTCATTTTCAGAGATAGAGAAACAAGCATCTTACCTGCGCCTCGTCCAAAAACAGCCTATTTACTTTCGGGATATTTTACAATTTTATCGTAGACACCGAACTGTTTGATCTTGAAACGAAAATTCACATACTTCCAGAGGTATGTATTCGAATCGAATCTCGTAATTGTTCATACTCGCAAAGAGTTCAAAGCCCAAAGAAGAATCTAAAGAAGCGGAATATTCCATGTTAGACTTGAAGGAGGGAAAATTAACAACGTCCATTGTTATCCTTACCTGTCGAGAGATTCCTTGTGCATAAAATATACATCCATTTTTGTATTGTATTATACATACGATATTACATACGTACATATGATACACGCTGTGTGTACGCACACGACGGGTATCTATGCTGGAGAACAGCAAAGAACGGGACTCGAGTACAGACACGGCTCAGAAACAGACTGTGCGCTTCGAGTACCACCTCTCGAGTAACGTAGAAGGCTAATAGAAGAAGTCATGCGGTGTCATTGTTGTCGGACAATATCGCAGATGGTTAAGCCCGCGCCGGTGAATAGTTCTGATTCATGGAATCGTTGAAAAAAAAAGTAGCAGCACTCGACATATTTTTCGTATTGCACCTTCGTTGCGCCATTTCATTTTGACAAACATTGCAAATAAGTACCCCTGCCACCGCTCTGTATGTATAGGGAAGCGGTTTTCAATGCACAAGTACCGAAACGAAGACTTTCAAATACATATGTACATAGAAATTTTTTTCGTTACGCCCACGACTATGTGGATCAAGAAGACCCGTTGTTCCATTTGTACGGGTCACATCCGGCAAACCGATGTATGTATCCAGACGGAGGTAGAACGCTTGATGATCACGCAATGGAATGCAACGACGGTAAGTAACTATATATGTATGTATACATGTACAAGAGCGTATGAGTTTCTTATGACGCGTTACCGCGTACTATGTACTCGCACGAAATAAATTTACATATTACGTACTTAAGGAACAAGGTGCCGAATCGGCAGTCGCATCGGTATCGAGTAAACAGTCGACATCGTAATCGCTAATTGGGAGGGGTCGCAAATGTAACGAAGGTACTATCGATGAAAACATGCTGTTATTTATGTAAGGGAAATTTATAAACCCTCGGTTCGATGAAACGCAGAATCGCATCTTTGAGTCCGCATCTTGATCCTGCGAATCGTAAGTTGGATTTGGTGCGAATAAGGAGTGCCAAAATCTTGACTTAAAGGAAAAGGAAATTTTTTTGCGCGCACTATTTGCATCGCTTATGGAGCGTACGCGTATATGTATGTATACAAATACGATATTTACCTATATGTATACCCGCCGCGTACGACAGCATTGTTCGGCAATATCGTGATGCGTTCTAATATCGCAAGCACATGATAATATCATGGTAATATTACTAAAAAAATAAGTCTTTTAATTTTATTTTAATTACTATGATCTGTGTATATAATTTCAATAATTATATTCTTACGTGGAACACGACCAATGTTCCCTACTCGTCAGGGTGCGTTTTATTTGGCTCAAACATACTTTCGGCAGGTGCAAGGATTCACAGTCTCGAATGATTAGAAAAAGAGATTTCGTTCAGTTTTCGTCACAAGTGGACAGTTACCGAACTTTCTCATCGCATAAAAGGTGAGCAAGGCGGTCTATGTATACTGGTGTCTTTCTCGTTGAACGTCCGTTTTTTAATTGCAATGTATCATAACCTTGATGACATTCCCTTGTCCCGATTTCGAAGTCTCAAACGCTGCCAGAGTGTCCTCCAATTTATAATTGTGAGTTATAAGTGGCTTCACGTCTACCTTCCCTGTAGCCACAAGATCCAATGCATCGGCGTAACTACAAAAGGATAAAAACAAAGTATCGTTTAAGTTCGTTACTTCGTGATTTATTCCATCCGAATTTTTTCACGGTTCGCGGCCAAAAGAGGCTCCCGTCTGTTTCAAGAATTAATTTCGGGCGATAAACTCGCGTTAGCTCATGCTCCCGAAAAAATTTAGGAAACGTGATTCGAGTAAAAACCATTTACTTGCACGTACTCGTTAGCATATCGAAACACGCCTCTGATATCCACTTCCCTGATAAGCGCATTAATCAACGGGATTTGGACCTCTGGTGCTCCCATGCCTACCAAAACTGCCACACCGCCGGATTTCGTTGCCTGAAAATATTTACATACATTAAGTATATATATATATATATCTCAATTGAAGCGAGCCACCGCGAACGTAAACAGCAAAAAACTCACAAGAATAGCCAAGCGAATCGACGACTGAGCTCCAGACGCGTCGATCGTTCTGTCCGGTTCCTCTCCGACTAGCTCGTGAATTTTCTTCACGGTTTCAGCCTCCGTGCCCTCCCTGCGTATCAAAAGCGTTTCGTCGGCACCGAGTTTCTTCGCGATGTCCAATCTGTGCTGCACCAAATCTACACAGAAAATTTGAATTCGATTTCAGAACAGGGCTACATTTTTCATATTGTAATTTTTCAACAAACAATTTTCAATAGTCTTTCCGACGTACCGGTAATAACGATCTTGCTGGCGCCCATAGCTTTGGCTACCAGCAACGACACTAGCCCGATCGGTCCGGCACCTAAAATCAACACCTTCATGCCAATGCCGATATTCGCCCGTTTACAGGCGTGCACCCCCACCGATAAAGGTTCCAACATTGCACCTTCTTCCAACGTCACATGGTCAGGTAACCTACGCCACAAACAAGGTAGACTAGTTATAGTATAATACATTGTAATCCCGTGACGAGAATAAACGCTCGCGGTCATCTCCTCGTTGGAGGGTCCCGCGAAGCCGGGGGTCCGATCGCGATCAATTTGCAAACGTAGTTATATACTTGAAACAAAAGTCGGCCGCGTGTTTGTAGAAACGTCTGAGGCTTCCGTGCACCGGAGGGGTAGCGCAGAACACAATATCCTCGCACAGGTTGTAACGGCCTTCTTTACAGAATCGGCAGGTTCTACAAGGCACGCCGGGTTCGATAGCCACACGGTCACCAACCTGAATCAAACATTCGTTGAATCATACGTAAAAAATATAAACGAATTTGCTTATGATCGCGTCCTTCAACTCGATCGTTCACGTATATAGCAACATGGAAAACGTAAACGTTTGCCTAAACTAAGCGATGCGTAGTGTTATGTTTTCGTATGTAGGTAAATACCTACTCACTTATGTACATGTGAATCTAGATACAATATATGTATACACACACACATACATATATATTATAAGTGTGTACGTCTACTTTATGGTAGAAATGTTCGTTCGAATCTTAAATTCATTCGTGTCATGTTCACATACCTTGAAATTCTTCACATCCTTTCCCAGCTTGGCGACAACACCGGAAGATTCGTGGCCCATGATCATGGGTTCGCGCACTACAAAGTCACCGATTTTCCCATTCACGAGATAATGAACATCGGAACCGCAGATGCCGACGCAACTCATTTGTAAGAGTACCTCTATGTGTAAACGTGAAAGCAAATTAACACCTCGTTCGAACCGATCGAACGAATTCTGATAACATAAAGAAAAGCAACATCTTGTCTTCGCTCACTTTTTTCGTCTACGCCGAAGAAACAAATGTTCCGGATACAGTTAACGTTCTCTCCAGACGAACGTAATAAGTAAAAGCGTTCGAAGACAAAACACAGATCACCTTATGACACTTACCATTAGGGCCAGGCTCCTCGATAGCAGTTTGTTCCTGAAATTAAAAAAAGGATATGCGCATAAAGCAAGTCAGAAAGGTCATTTTAACAAGTTTGTCTGTCACATATCCTTTCTAACACTACTGTTGTCTGTTACTCGCCTTTTCCACTTCTTGTAAACGCAGACGACGCCGCAACGCGAGAGTTATACTCGTTATCTTTTAATTACCGCATTGTATGAAACTATCATGGAAAACAGATAATACTGTACCACCGACAGTGTGTATACAGGCATTAACATACTTACATGCTATCACCAGTAAAGAACAGCTGTTTCGTTTCAGTTTAGCTAAATATATGCTTGAATTTTATTTCGCTCGAACCAAAAAAAATTAACTATCGGACAGTTTGCAGAACATCGAATAGAATTCAGGAAATATGTATGTACAACAAGGCAACGGGACAACGTCGTTTGACTTGTTAAAGCGTTCTGTTTGCGTGACATAGTCCAACGTTAATACGGTAATAACGCGGAAGAGATTGAACATGCAGGTAGCCACAAGTAACGCACAAATAGTGACAGAAATAGAGAACCTTGTCCTCGTATCAACGCGGATAATATCCCGTCTCACTTCGTCGCATCTCGTCCGGTCTCGTCGCGCATCATATTTCGGACCGTCATTGATGCTAGTCGTTCGTTTAATCGCGCTAAGCGCAACGGACCAATTTCAATTAATCACGGGGCAACGGGATGAAAAAGTTGAGTAAGTTGAGTTGTGATTGCATACCGAAACAAAATAAACTAGCTCGCGCCATTTCACGTTTAATCGTTTCAAAAACGATGGAATCTCTTTCCGAGAAACTATTATAGATATTATAAACAAGAAGTAGTTAAATCTACATCTACTATGCAACCTCTCTGCTAACACACCATGAATACGAAGAACGTGTTCGGGAAATTCTTCTGCGTAGAAATACAACAGTTCGTATCAAGGAAAGTAAAGTAACAACAATCTCCGTACGCTTCAAAAATAAATAGAAGTAGATATCGGTAACTATCAGTCTCTTTGAAAGACGAGCGACTGTCGTAATCGTAATCGTAAGTACTTGGAGGACTTATACTAACCAGCCGTATGTCATTAATACCGTAGAGAATACCGGTGAGATTGTCCTGAGCCATGATCGAACACGATGTCTGCGAATATCGAACGATTCAAACGAAATGAAACTGAAGTTTTCACGACAGAATACTGAATCCAAACTCGAATCGGGAAAGAAGACCGCGGTCTTCATACACACGTACGTATATGTACTGACGGTTAGTTCCTCCTATCACCGCGACGGGCTGCCTTATCAGTAGAACACTTTGAAATTTCGCTCCTTTACCTACACCACCGCGATAAAAATGGACTACTCGTTTTTTTGTCTATGCTTACGTCATATTATTTTTGCGCGATTCACTTGGTTCTACCTCTGTATCACGGATCGATAAACATCGAAACACATTCAACGGTACTTTTCCAAACACTTAATCTCTCCCTCTCGTTTCGGTTGAGAGTTCAAGATCTTTGATGCGTTGCGAAATAATCCGTTTATGGAAACCGAAGAACACGATTGTCGATAAATGTAAGAAAATGTCGCAATAGGTCAACAACGCCTAATCTAGGTACATGGAAATTGATAAGACGACTAATGTGTCGTGAAATCTGTTACGTTCGTTATGTTAGATACGTTTATCGAAACTTCAACGCTACCTGATCTTACCAAAAGAGTATTTCACAACCAATAAACACATTTCTTCTTTCCGTTCCCTAAGATTACCGGAACAGGTTCCAGTGTCTTAGAAGAAAAACAAGAACTCTTTTAAGAACGCAATTCTAACAGCAGCTACTTTTCGCATACCGGCATGACTCTTTGTTCCTTTCTATTTTATCCGAGAATACCACATAAACCATATCATCCGCGCACAATATCTTCATTTTCTCCGATTAAACAACTTTCTATCTTTCCATGCAGTTTGAAAGAAACTGCGCGCGGCGGCACTATATTGTCTGCCTGGTCAACACGTTCCACCGTACCAAATGCATATATGTACCAACGATATTTCAGTTGTGTGCAATTGTTCATCAAGTATCGGTACTTTGTAACCGTGTCATCCACTTAGATGATCTTCTTTGGATGAATCTACGACACTGCAAAAGTGTAACGCGGTTACACATATCTGTCACATGTATTGTGAAACGTTGTAAACAAAACTATCCGTTTCAAGTTATTGAACACGGAAGATTAAATAAACCGTGTGTTCGCAAAAAAAAAAGACATATTTCTTTTTACCTTAACATTTCTAACGTTCGAAGACTTAACAAATTCTTGGGTGAACACGTAGGAAATAAAAAAATCCACGGTCTTAGCAAAGAAAACTTTATTATTGCTGGTGTTTCGGTTGCTCGATCCCATGGTATTAATCATCCACGATTGGTACCATTCATTACTGTATGTTATTCCCATCCCCATATTCCCGTCGATTGCTTCACAGTATCTCTGTTGTCTCTTCTAATTCTGGTTGTCGCGTTTGCTTCGCCTTTCACGAGAATTCTTCTGGATTGTTCTTTCTTGTTTCGTCTCTGTAATGCCGCCTTCACCTTTTTTTTAATCAATTCCGGAGCGATCGTGGTGGTTGTCGTAGTACTGTACATACTTCTTAAATCGTACTCTAATTTATCATTTTCCGAGTGTGCGTTTTCCGAATCGATTGCTTTCGCGGTAAAATCGAACGAATTGTCTGACTTTTTATCCAGATTTACATTCTGAACGCTCAACTGTTCGTTCTCAGCGTTGGTTAATGTACTATTTAGATCAATGTTTCTAACAGCTTTGTCCAAAAATTCACTTTCCAAACATGGACTAGTTACATCATCTATCCCATTCCTTGCCGATATCGAAGAAAACTTGACGTTACGTAATCCCGATAATTCGTTATTCACAGAATCCTCGACTTGGAGTTGCATACAACTAACTTCATCTTCATCTGTGGAACCAGTTACTTCGTCGGATTCGTTTCCTGCCTCTACAGCATCCTCGTCTTCATTTCCGGCTATTCCCATTTCCCTTAAAAGATCTTTCTCCATTTGTTTGGTCAGACCGCTGGCCTTAATTTCCGCGTCTATACAATCCTCTCTCCTAAACATAAACGTAACATCTATAAACTACACGAATCCCCACACGATTTGTTCTACTTACGAAATATCTTCAAACGTTGGAAACAATTCACTTTCGTAGGCGAAACGTCTTCTGAAGAAATCCCGCACACAATTCACATCTCTCTCGAAATGCATTTTACCGTCGATATGCTCTGTCGAAATCATCTGTGGAAAGTCGATGATAATCGGTTTTCCATCGTTTGTAATCATAACGTTAAATTCATTGAAATCGCCATGGATAACTCCGTGATTTCCAAGTTTAACGATAATATTCATTAATTCGTCATAAAGGGATTCAACATCGTTCACTTGATACACGCCGCATCTGAAATACAGCAAGTACGAGAAATGCTTAGACGCGCTGAGTGAAACGGCTCGAATGATTCATCGGACAAAATTTACTCACAAAGGTCCACCTTCAACCAGCTCCATGAGAACGCAGTGTCTGTTAAGATCGATCGGCTTAGGTACTGGAAATCCTCTGTCGTAAAGCGCTTTCATATAAGCAAACTCCCTTGTCGCAGATATCCTCGACAAATATAACCACGATACCGATTTTCTATGTTGATGATAATCTCTTTTGCCTTTGATATTTCTAAAACACGTTCTTCCTAATCTGTGCAGTTTCAAACAAACGGAATTTCCTTTTTCATCCGCGACACGTATCCAGCATTTGTCAATCTGTAACCATCGTCTAAAAGCACATAGAATCTATTTGGTTATTGCTGCCACTTGCTTTGTTGCTTTTTTCCTTCAACTTGCAACATACTAAGTTGTTTCCATGAAAGGAGGAAAGGATAATTTAGAAATTGGTCAATTTTGGATCTCGTTACCAATTGGGTGAGTCTTATTGACAAAAAAATTTGTGCATATTTTTTATAACTTTCTCCTGAGATCGCGCATAAATAATTATGCATTTCAGTCTCCTTAAAAACTATGGAAACATATCCGATAAAAATTGATCATTAGTAGCAAGGTCCAGAATTGCCTAATTACTACCATTCTTCTTTCTACAAAGTATCTAAAACATAGTTTTAATTTTATATCAACTAACAATGTTTGCCACGTTCGTAACTAAGAAGTCTGTGCTTGCACAACTCCCTCATTAACTTATGAACGCCTCCATATCGTAAATTGGCTATTTGGGCTGCCAGTGACGCAGGTACCAATTCATGATTCTTCATTCCCATTTCAATCTGCAATAGAATCATACAATGTTGACTTTAACCGTCAAAGTTATAGTTTCTAACACTCGTTTCAGAAAAAAAGATATTTTAAATAAAGATATTTAAAAAATTTATATAACAACGCTAGAAAAGCTTCTCTGAAATTAGAAGTCGAATATTAACGAAACATTTATAAAAATTTACTAACATGAACCGTAAGGTAATGTATACGCGAACATAACCTCAAAATATACTAAAACATAGTTGAGACAATTTAATTGCATGATATAATAAGGTGCTAAATTAATGTTACGTAATTAATAGAATAAGAATACTTGCCGCAGTTAAAACGCGGAAATCATCCCGCGTTAAGTACCGTAAAATTGTGACGTTCAATTTTCCCATATTTCACGATACCTACGCGTAAACGACAATCTTTCACAGAGTAAACACTGTCAAAATTACATTCAACTTAATTTCTCAAGTGAAATCAAATTACTATAATTCAAATATTCATAACAGAATTTACAAAATTGTTAAAACAATGTTTTGGTCTTAGACCATATATAACTGGATGTCGCACGTCGCATGTGTCACATCACACATGTCACATGCAGACTCCTTCGGGACCAACTCCGAATCGATCGAAGCGCCGATGTAAAGAAACGAGCGCCAGCGAAAATACATAATCGATAACTGAGACGGAAAAGATGGAACACTATAGAAATCTGCTTTCTTTTTGAATGCTTATATTTTGAAATGATATTTATCATTTATTGACATGACACAAAAAGAGTAGTAAAACATAAAAGACGCTCCTTGTCTGAATCTACAACTTTTGTCTGTTATGTTTTCTGATAAAATCGATAACTTAGAGGATAATCCAATAAAATAGACTTTTGTATGCGTTTAATAAGTAATTAATTAAACTTAAACGTTTAAAGGCCCAAGGCCTCCTTTCTCCCTTGACCCATCGAGCTCCAACTTCACACAGATTATTTTTTTTATTAATACAACTATTCGTGTGGTTAACTCCTAGTGGTTTAACTCAAATTTTAAAGACCGCAGTATGAAGAAATATTCTGGTTTACGGTAGTCAATTTATTACAAATGTTACAAATACTTATCAATTACACACTATATTCTATATAAATTTATTAGTACCCGAAACGTTAATTAATACGGTCTTCATGTAATGTCAATATTTAAAATATTAAAACGTTCTGTCGTAAAAGAAGCAGCTTCAAAGTAATACTCAGCTAACAGGGAACGAATGATATACATATATGTAAATTAAAACAATGTTACAATGGCAAACAAAAGCAGTCTCCTTTCTTCACAGAACTCTCCTATATACAATACAGGTAATACAGAAATTGGCGTTGTGTATTCTCACAATATGAAAAATACAACACATGCAATGAGCACGCATGATCGTACGAGCTCAATGGAATAAAAGGTAAAAGTAAAAAGTGCCGGTACTTCTTCAATTAATTTTTAAATAAAATGTATTTTACTCAACTCGTTTAACCTTCTACCAACTACTGACGCAACGTTCGACGATTACAAACACGTTATGAAACATATATAGCTATACTTCGTAATCAGTCGTCAATGGTTTATTAAAAGTCGTTAATGAATTCAGTCGTTCTGAGATCCGGAAGTTTGTATTTTCAGCAGGCGATATGGCTGGAGAAATTTATTGATCCGTTCTACCTACATAAACCCAAGAAACAGGCTTGGCCCTAAGAGGGTCACTGTATTTGTTCTAACAAGAATAATGAATATACTTAAAACATTTTAAAGTTTTAATTTATGGAACATTAATCTATTTCGTAACAGAACTACATTTTTCTTCCGTTAATATTCGATGACGAAAAAACTGTAATAACTTTGAGAATCTTCGAAAAAGATATAACGAAAGATAGAATTTTTTTCACGGTGCAGTACTTAAAAAAAGTAATTAGAAATCACCCACAGTGTCTCACACGAACTGAAACGACACACCAACCTTCTGCACACGCGACAGTTGGTCAATGTTAGGTAACAAGGGAAAAACTGGTTCATTTTTCTTCATTTGAGAAATTTCTGACATAATACTGCAGTTACACATAACGCATACGAAGGTCGGTCGGTTAAGGTATTTAATGCGAGATCGGTCTCGTTTCGAACCGCTTCACATCAGACGCGCTCTGAAAGAAAGACAGTGAGAAGGCAAAGCTAATATCGGAAGATAGCGTTTAACGCAAAACTCGACAAACATCGACAAACTCTATATTGTTTCAATGTACACGCTACATAGAAACGTAATGCACACGCATATTGCAACAAAGATTTTCATCTTTAAAGTTTACATTCTCGCCATTCCTAATTTTCTAACCGTGTGACCTTTTAATTATTACTTATTCGCATAGTGTTCCACATTCTATTCATTACATGGAAAAACTTATGTAGCATTAACCTAATTCGTAAAAAAATAATTGAAATGTTTAAAAGAAAATAAATGTTAATCCCGATATACCCTTATAAAAACAATCATTAAATTTCATATAAGTGTATTTCAATAAACAACACGGGTATCGATGGACCCAAGTAAACATATTTTCTTTTTTCTTTGTGTCGTCGACATTGCGTGACACTATCGTAACGTATGTGATGTCTCATGTTTCAATACCGTGCCACAAGATACCTCCCTATTCTTATCCCGCATCGATACGTCGAATAAATGCTTTAAAAATTGAAACAAACTTTACACAAGTACAATATGGAAACAATTAACAAAAATAAAACACAAGATTTATCCTACTTGTTTTCTGTTTCATTGTTTTTCGAATACAATATTCGCAAAGTGCATGCCGGGGACAAAGTAATCGCACAGAGAAAGTGTTTAAAACCTGAAACAATCGAAGTCACAAGAAATTCTAAAGAAATTCCATACTTTATGACTCTAGGTATCATACATTCGATAGATTTGTGAAACATTTTGTTATGTCACGAATAGATGCCTATTGATTGTGAATTCGAGCATAAGCTATGACGTAAGTAAAAAATCGTTCTACACACACATACATACATACATACGCGCGCATGCATATATAAACGACACGCGGAGTTAACTCGGCGGAGAAACTAATTTCATATGATGAAAAACACGTTACATATTATACGTATTTATAAACAAGTAGCTCGTTATGGTATAACAAAGGACCTAATTATAGGATCGCGAGAAACATTTCCTTAGTGTACGTAAAAAAACAGTCGATGTACGCATCGATACTTGTACTGTACGCAGACGAGTATAATACAGTAGAGTAGAGAACAGTAACTTTGTGTCGAGAAGAATTTTCGATAGTTTATAAACACAAATTGAGAGACACTGCATAGAAATAGAAAACGATGAAAGAATGGTGGGACAAATAATGTTTAAGTCTCAGGTAAAAAATACTTCGAATGCTGTTTTCAGCCATAGTTGTCCAGACCGTCACAGCTGCACGAAACTCACGATGCTGTTCCCACTTACGATTGGTGGAATACGTAAATGCTCTATGATCACATTTCCGGAATTGGAAGTCGAAACGCAAATGGCCGCGTTTCGTGTAATCGTGACGGGTGTAACAGATTATATCCGTCTCCATTCGAAATGTATCGAAACTTTATCGAAAATTACACTTACCACATCAATTGATTACTTTTTCCTAAACAGCGCATATCAGTTCGTATTGAAATAAGTATCTCTTATTCTTGAACAGATCGACGGCTGGTGTCAACTGATTCTTCTTCATCCCCGAATATAGATCCGTCGTCCGACAATTGGCTCGAATCGACCGTTAACTCGTGTTTCTTTTTATCCCGGACCTTTTTATGCGATCGTTTGATAGATGTTTCTCGTAAAAGTCTGATATAATTTTTCACTTTCAAACAATTCGGTGGCGTAACAATCTGTAATACACCCTCCGCGCTCGTGCTTGCCGCATTTTGATCAGCCACGTGAATACGACTCGATCCTTGTACGTCGCCATTGTCCTCGCTCGATGTATCGATGCCCAAATTCTTTCCATCGTACTCCGACAGATCGAATGTCTCATGCGTCTTGTTTCCAATCTCAGCCGATGAAGTCTGCCCGCATCTTTCCCCGAAACTGTCGTCCCCTACCAGGTTGAAACCTTTCCGCGAAATATTTCCGCGTTTAGTCTTTTTGTGGGATTTCTTAATCGAGTCTAGATTCAAATATAATTCCACCGTTGACATGTTTTTCGGAGTTGATCTACCAGTTCTATCGTTTGAATCACATTCCTGTATGTCAGACTCCTCGGTAGTTACGTTATTATAGGGTGTTACAATCGCCAAGTGATTCGCACTCGACTGCGCACAATGTTCCTCGAAATTTAGAATCGGCGTTAAACATCTCGACGTACTAATGTTTGCCGCGATGTCTTCCTTTGTATTCTCATCTTTTCCAGAAGGTAAATTATAAAAACGTAAACAATCTTTGGTGGTCGAAGAGATTAATGATCGCTTTCTTTTAAGGGGAGTGAAAATTTTGAATTCTTCCTGAGACGTATCGAGTTCTTGTAATTCAGACTCGCATGATACACTCGTATTGTATTCTCGAGACACGTCCAATGGGATTTTTCTTTTGCTGGGAGATAGTTTATCCGAAGACACGTTCGCCGAATAACTGGAATCGCTAAGGTTCACCGTCGCATCCAGATTCGAATAAGAGAGACCCTTCATACTCTCTGAGCGTTCAGATTTAGGTCCAACATCAACACAGGATTCTGAATTTTTATCGTGTCCCACCAAGTCCATGTCTTTGTTAAAGTATTCTTGCCGTTTCAGAAATCCAGATAATATTTTGTTATGCTTACCCTTTTTGTGAGACTTCTTCACGGAACTAAACTGCGATAGTAACAGCCTGCTCGAATTTATCTTCTCAGGAGTAGATGCTCGTTCCGAATTCAATTCATCAGGGTGAATCACTTTTACAAGTACCTCATTCTTTTCGACGTGTTCATTTTGCTCGAAACTTTCCTCATCCTTGTTGTTTCTCTCTTCAGCTGCTTCAATCTTACCTCGCAGAACTATTGGACTAAAAAATTTACACTTATTTACCTCTTTATTCTTTTTATGTGACTTTTTTATAGAATCTTCGGCTATTCTTCGCAAAAGATGTATACGATTCTCCGGTGTACTCGGTTTTTGAGACTCTGATGAAGTTTCAGTGGTTAATTCTGGGGTCGCCGGTCTGTCGTCAGCTTTTACGTAAATAGACTGAGCGGATGATGTACCCGCATTAATGCTATCATTTACTGCCATAATTTCATTTTGATCTGTGGTTTCAGATACATTTACGATATTTTCTTCTGATCGCACTCTGATATCGCATTCGTAAAGCTCAGACAAAACACTGTCCCCAGTTTCTATAGGATTCGATGCTTCCTCGGATTTTAATTCCTCCGCGTAGTCGAACAGCGAACCAGTATCTGACATATCATCTTGTGAATTGCATGATTGTACGTGTCTCGAATGTGATTCTCTGTCAGAATCTGTACGTTCTGTGTGTCGAGTTAATACGAAGTCCGTTATATTTTCAGTTACATCCTTGTCGTCTGAAAAACTGTTTGCTAGTTGCGTCGTACAATGACCGCTTCGTTTCGATGATCTTTCCTGTAAAGCATATCGTAAAATGTTAAACGTTTATAAATATAAGCGTGAAAACTTAAAATATAATATTCTGCATACAGTACGTATCACATGTATTCACCTTTTTATGACTTCTCTTGATAGCGCTCATGCTTTCCGGAATTATCCGAATTAAATTTTCAGGCGTTTGAGGTCTATCATCGTCTTCCTCATGAAATTCATGAAATAAATTTCTCGATGTATTCGTTGTAGAATTATCAAAGTATTTCGAACTTCCAGTAATATATTTCAATGACTGCGAATTGGGTGTTGCAGTAATGTAAACAATATTATCGGTAGTTTTTTTCAACCGATTATGCAGCAATGGTGTAAAACTGGCCAAACCCATCGACTTTCTATTAATATTTGTATTCGGCGTGGAATAGTGCAATGTTTCGCGTTCTTTCGCACGTTGTCGTAACGGCGTTTCATTTTGATTTTCGTCGATTGATTCCGACGAGCCAAATATGAAACTACTATTCGCGGAATCGCTCGGATCTTTGTCAAAGTCTAATAGTTTGTTCGAAACAGACAACGGTGAACTGAAGTTCAAACTCAAAGCTTTTCGTATATTTTTCTTTACAGGTGGAAATCTCTTTGGGCTAGGAGTTAAATTAAAATTCAACGATTTCTTTATTTTCGTTTTTCCGTAATACGACGGGCTACTATTAAAAGATAAAGCCCTCATTATTTTAGCAGATCTGGAGAGATGTTTGTTCTCTTCGAAAGAACTATTCTCCGAGTTAGAGTCGAAAACGTTTGCATCGAAATTTAACGACCGACTTAAATCGCATCGAACAAAACGTTTATTTCTACGTGGTACCGATCGACTGCAGGATACGTATCTTTGTTTTGATGAGAACTTGTTCCTTTCCAAAGGACTCCATGGAAGGGAACATTTTTGTTCCATTTCTGTACCACAAACACTATAATCTTCTCTATTTTTATCGTCATTCACTTTCATAGCTGTTGCACAATCGTCAAACGTATTTTTAGTTCTATGTTTTATATGTAACAATTACTTTTTAATCTATAAATATGTATAGTTGTTAAGACAATGGTTATATTTCAGTGGAAGGAAAGGATCTTGATCACTTCTATATAACCATGCCAACAAATTGATTCTCAAAATATTCCATGACACGTGCCAAAGATACCAAGTGTACAACTACTTTTGATATTTCTCCAAACACACACGGTTAAGACTTCGCAGCACTGTAACAAAATTAAAAAGAATTATTTAACTTTGAACCTGTTTTACAAGATTGTAAGTTTATGTTTTTATAGAATGACAATAATTGTACTTCAGGCTTTATCAATCTTTTCCTACGTAGGGATTTCTTTACCAATATTATTGTTATATTTTCGCATTCGAATTCAAACGAAATTCGGTCAAATAGTGCGGCCTAAATGTCTGTTTATACCAAAACGGGCCAAGCATTTGACGATCTATGATGAGCCGAGAAAAATATTGTTGTATTTGTTTTTAATTGTTTTAAATGAAACAAGGTTATATTATAGCCGTGTCGCGAATGATGCTCGGAGAATCTTCGTAGGAAACTCGTCAAGCGATTATTGACAAGAATTTTTTTACCAGTTCATTCTGTCCTCATCCAGCGTTTGTGCTACTCAAGTCAATTTTTGTTTGGCTCGTGGACTGCATTTTGCATGTATGTCGACAGAGTAGTCGTCCTGGGCTCAACCCATGCTCGGCCCGTCGTAGTATATACTTAGAAATGGACCTTAAGACGTACCTTCGTATTTCCAAAATTCGTTGTTTATAAATATATACATTGACTTATATTCGACACCAAATGCACAGTACAATACACTGCATATATACCGAAAAAGACGAAGGCGTCTTAATATGTATTCAGAAGGAAAACATAAAACTGCGTTTATTCGTATTATGTATGGTTAAGTACTGATACGTATCAAAGAAAGAAAGCACATAGCTTTTTGCTTACAGGTTTCTGCAATCAATTTGTTCGAAATAATGGTAGCTACTCGTTGTGGTCCTAAATAATGCTCAGACATGAATTATCGAATATTGATGTCTTCTTGTCGCTGCACTCCTTTTTCCCATGTCACGAAATCTGTATGCACACATCTATAACTGCATACACACATATATATATATATACATCATACATAGAAATGTATGTTAACATTGGATCATAAATTTTCAATTGCTGAATTGTACACAAACAGATTAAAAACATGCACTTTAAACGTATCTTTGACTCAAAATTATGCACAAAAGATTCACACGCGACTTCGCAGGCTTCTTCACACGACTTTCGCGAGCGTTCCAACACGTTGCTTGCTTCGAAGCTTTCTTTCCTTCGATAGTGTGAATAATAGATGGAAGAATAGAAAATATAAATCTATGTATAACAGTATACAATTATAATATATTTATGCAGATTAAAATTAGTGAATTATTGTACACATTTAAAGTGGTGCATTGAATTCTACTAACTTTAAACTTTTATATGGAAACAGATATAAAGTATCCCCGGAAATGGGAGGCCACTCTTATGTTGTGATACTTAATGGTGTACTTATTATGCATGGTAAAAAAATAAAAAAATTATAGATATTGTGATTTGATGTTTTCCCAGTAGTATCAAATTGTCTATGAAATTTCTATGAATGGATATTGTGTACCAATAATCGTTGATTGCTATGGTATATAATTAATTAATATGTAACAACAAAGTGCATTGTATTATACGTAGGAGCTTGTAGTGCCATCTACGACAAAATACTCAAACACTAGACGACGAAACTTAAGACACACAACAAGCAGCAATTGTTATTAAAAAATGAAGTAATATACACAAAATATGTAAAAAAAGAATGAGAAGTCGTTTATCTATTTTATCTACTGCTGAAACATCTCGCTTTACTTAATGGTACCGATGATTTCGAATATTTAATGCTAATGACCTGAAATTTAATAAAAGCGGTAACAAATCATGAACCTGGTCATTTATAATTTCTTTAATAAAATTGGTGACGTTAAAAATGTTTCTCAAATATTTACAAAATCCCGCAGCAAATGTCATAAGATTTTCAAGCAACCTTCTTATCAGTTAACATTATCGATGACGTGCAATGAGATCGATATTGTCGAAACAGGATAAAGTTGAATGAATGGTATTGTACATACGAATAGTTATGAAACTTTACATATTCTGATAAAATCTTAGACATGCCTAACATGAAAACTGACAATATATTCAGCATTCGTACGCTGAACGGAAATAGCGAACGGATCTGTCGGGTGAAACGTAAATGCAACTAATCGTCTTGCAGATGTTGGTGTCGTACGTCCCAACATTCCTGCGTACATTCGAAACTTCAGAAGACCAGAGTCGCGAGCGTAAAATCTAAAAAATGAATACATACATATGAACATTGTCTGACATTACAATCGAAAGATGTCATTTTTGTAGGTGTGATACATAAATTAATAACGTTGTAAAACTAAAGTAAATTTGATATGGATAGATTATAACTGTAACTCTCTCATTCCGTGCTCATGAGATTAAAACGTTTTATATCGTAGAAAATAAAGAAATTATACCGTATGGGATGTTCTCCGCATGCTTTTGGACGCTCCATCATAGAAACCCATTTATCATCGTAGCAAAACAGGGATAAGTCTAGGTACGGGGAACTAGAATAAGACTGAGCACATATTGGCAATTGAGCAAGTAGCCTTTTCGTAGCTTCCGTAACACCGCCGTATCTAGCACTCACTATCGTTTGTTTAAACCTTTGCTGTAATAATCTGCAATACAATAAGAAATTAAATTTAAACTTATTATACAGTATTGAAACCGTATGAATTGTTCTAACAAGCTTAAAGTTATAATTAGGCACATTATTCTTGAATAAACACTATCGTACCTTGCATATATATTATTAGATGGAGAGCACATGTACTGACAGTCAGTACTCATTCTTGCATTTCTAAAGAAATCGCTAAAATTTTCAAACTGCGTCAATAATTGTGTTGACGCGTTATCATATGCAGCTAATATTTTAGCTGTAACCATGTCGTAAACTACTAAAAGTGCCGGTTGTGCGTTAGGTTCGTTCGCTTGAAGTGTTGCCACCTCTTCACTCGCAAATCTTACAAGTATATGATTCGTATCTAGCAATTGCATCTTCCACATACGTAACGCATTTAACTAAAACGTTAAACGAATATTCAAGCTCTATGGGAATTCAGAGGAAGAATATCAAGTAGTTTATATATTTTATAGAAGTATACCTGATCAAAATATTGATAAAAACGCCTCAATTCGTATGGATCTTTTGTTGTATCGCTAATGTATGCTGCTCTTTTGTATAGATAAACCAATAACTTGTGCTTAAGACTATTTATTGTAATGTCTCTGAATGGACGGCAATGAACTCCAGGACAAGCGCTTGTAACTAGGTAAGCATCATCTTCTAAACAAAACCTGTTTTAAATTAGAAACAATTTGTAAGTACATAGTCCAATAGTCATTGCTGATACGAGCCATAGAATATCTTTACAATTGAATAATACCTTCCTATTGTTCTGACATTTATAAACATTCCATCAAGAATTTGAAATATATGTATAGTTTGATGCTGTACAGACAAAACTGCTAATATATCTTTATACAAATAAAGACCTGCAAAAAGGAACATGTATTCTTGTAGTTTTATTCATTAAACACTTTACACAGACTGTTTTCTATTATCATTTGACAAAAAATCTATACCCTGGTTATGAGATAAGTATATTTTGTCTACTTTAAAATGTCTAGTATCACATAATTTTCCTCCACGTAAATCAACAAGATGTAAACTATAATCTTCCAGTGGCGATCTAGGATTTGGTGTTAATGCTTCATTATTGGAATAAATCTTGAACCAAACAATTTTCATTATCAGACAGTTTAACGGATGGTCATTAATCAAACAAGAAGCAATATACCTGATAAAAGTGAGGTCTTAATTCATCCGGAATGTGGGCAGCAGAACCCACAATTACATACCGACCGTCATCTGTAAATAAACTGCATTCTCTGTTTAGTTGTTCATTACTCTGCACTACATTCACAATCCATTTGGCCTATAAATAATATATGTTGTTATGTCTGTATGTTGTGCTAAGATGTTCACAATAATGTATATAACAGACAATGTAATATACCTTGAAAAATCGGTTAAAAATATTACTTCTAATTTGAAAACTGCATTCGTCATTCTTATGACCAATGTATTCGCCTTCGCAATTCGCTAATAAATCGGCAGCTGCAGACGCACCGCGATATTCGTAAACCTCTATCGAAGTTTGATCAGCGCTAAAAGCTATTAAATAACGTCCATCGGGACTAAATTTTCTGAGAAAACAAGGTGGTTTCTCTACATTCATGACAGTAAAATTTGGAAACACATTTTGGTAAAATTGTCTAGCATTATGAACGTGTGTTCCTGGATAAGGACAGCCAAAAGTTTCACGTCGTTTTAGACGTAAGACAATGTTTTGTGGACCTATTTTACGAGGTTTTATGGGACAAGGTTCTGTCACATATTCAATCTTTGCCTCCTTTTCAGCCATTCCTTGTGACCGTTCCAAATGTGCATTAAAATATTCATTTCACTCGATTCATATCTTGCTCTATCGTTCTTAAAATATTGTTCTCTTGGTTATGTTCAACGTTGTTTAAGCGATCACGCTTATGCTAAAAACCTTAAATTACCTTTAAGCTACGTTAATCACTGTTTCATATTTTGTTTACAAGTGAGGCTCATTAGGATTTGCTCCACCAACAACTTAATTACAACTATAATGAATATACGTGAATTCCCAGGCTCTAACTTAAATCCCTTCACACTTTATCACATGTCACGTATCGCACAGTTTATATACATTTACAAGTAGACATTCGTCATTTTTACTTTTTTCTGTATGTGTGTTCTGTTTTATTTTACCATGAATATTATAGCTACATACACACACACGCACGCACACACACACACAGCCAGTGCAGATTCAAGATTCATATCAGTGATGCCAGTCTGGGTTAGGTAATGAATTTCATATCTTTCGAATTCCAAATACAGTGTCGTGTTGTTTTTGTTTCATAGTATATGCTCATAAATACGTATTTCTTTGTACAAGCACATATTTAATAGACATTACTTGCAAACTGTGTTCTATTATATTCATATGCGGACGAGTGAAATACAATTCCGATTGCGTACTAATTAACCTTTATGGTTACAAAAACACAACGTTCATTTCATAGGTGTGTATGTACATGTGTATATACATGTACATATTACATGCATATATATATATATATATATATATATATATCTCATTC